CGAATGTAACCTCATGATATTATTTCTTTTGTAGAGAGTATATAAAACTGTCTTGTATTTTTTAATAGAGTATATACGAAAATACAATTGATCTAAATAAGATTGATGTACACGCGACTGTTATTCGACTCCGCCGCGATGACAGTTACAAGTCGGTAAATAAATCGGTAATCGTAACACTCTCAGCATGCCACCATCTAACGAAGAACATATGTCAATGCACATTTCTCTGGTGAGGAGACGTTTCTTACGCGTAAATTCACGATTTCAGACTTTGAGCTAAAATAGCTCAGCTTCTGAAGCACGTAGAGAAAAAGTAAAGACAGTTTTATTAAGTAATGTAAACCCAAGGAATCGATTAAATATCTCCAGAATTTCGTCAATTCAGCCGTTATGACGATATAACCTACATTCAACTAAAGTCGTCGCGTAATATAACACGGTAGGCCGCCAATGCTTCGCGCTTGCACTTGGCTTCGCGATACTATCGTGTCGCTTGATAATATGAAACATACCTTTTCATTCTTTGTGAATATCGCTTGCTTAAGCGTTTACAAGACGTTTGATATTTTTTTAATTTGCGAGATCTTCCATAACATCGTCCGTAATCGTCAGATTGTTTCTTTATATTACAGTGCTCTTCATCTTGCAGCACTGAGTTCGACGTTGCACTGCATTGAACTTCATTAACATTACGCGTCTCCATTATATATAAAAGTAAAAAAAACTATTCAACTAAACTTCCGCAATAAGGCACAATCGTTGTGATCGGTCACAACGTTATTCTATGCCGCCCACAGCGACAAAAGAAGAATACAACACTTGTAAATGTATGTTGTGTGTGCGAGTAGATAGATTCGCTCGCGATGATCGAGAAAAGTGACAGAAATCCCACATATAGGATCAGCGCGTGCGCCGGTGTGCACACAACGAGCAACAGAGATATCTAGATTAGTATCTCTGTTGCTCGCTTGGGCGCGCATCCCCTCTACTCGCTGCTACGCCACTGTCTTCGAGTCGCTTCACAATAGAAAGACAGTATATGAGGAAAGATTGTACGAACAACATGTAAGTATACCACGTGTTAAAATGAATATTTGTGTACTATCATGAGATATGTTCTTAATCACTGTTTATTACTTAAACTGTGATGGCAGATTGGACATTGATTGCTCACAGAATCTGCTAAGAGACTAACATCAGCAGGATCTGCGCGCATTCTGCCTGTAATTTTCCGTCAGAGCTTGACATTTTTTTTTCTTTCTACATTTTATTATTCAACGATAAATGTCCATTGACGTTCAAAAGATGTGAAATCAACGTCAATATCACAGTTTCCACAATAATATATTATTTTTTTGCTTTATGTAATTATCTCACTGTAACATTCTAATAAGCTATCTGTACGCACACCGACGTAACATTAGTAACGTTGGACATATTGAAGCAGAATCTGTGGACAGATTCATACACATCGGCGTCCCCAATTTACTGTTAAAATGTGCGCAGAATGTGCTACCAGGCAGAACTGGGAAATCTTGACCCAGCGCACTAGCATTTTACTCCTTCCACTTCTCACACAGAGACACATTTCTGTCCGTGCGATTACGCGTGCCGCGCGTACGGACAGAAATGTGTCTCTGTGTGAGAAGTGGAAGCAGTAAAATGCTAGTGCGCTGGGTCAAGATTTCCCAGTTCTGCCTGGTAGCACATTCTGCGCACATTTTAACAGTAAATTGGGGACGCCGATGTGTATGAATCTGTCCACAGATTCTGCTTCAATATGTCCAACGTTACTAATGTTACGTCGGTGTGCGTACAGATAGCTTATTAGAATGTTACAGTGAGATAATTACATAAAGCAAAAAAATAATATATTATTGTGGAAACTGTGATATTGACGTTGATTTCACATCTTTTGAACGTCAATGGACATTTATCGTTGAATAATAAAATGTAGAAAGAAAAAAAAATTGCAATGGTGCATTAAGCTATTAAGAACAAACCTCTTGTAACAAGATCTGCGCGTTTGTTCATGTACATTTTTATCCATGAACAATTGCAGTGAAAATAATCAGTATATTGAAATATCTGTACAAAAGTGTTATAAAACATGTTACATGTGTGTAGGTCTGAGCGAGGAAGAAGAGAGGACGAGAGCGAGAGGATTAAAGAAAGGAAGATGGAAGTGAAGAAGAAGAAGGAGGAGGAAGAAAGGGAGAGAGGTAGAGAAAGAAGGAAGGAATTGATGAGAAAGGAGGAAGAAGAAATGAAAAAGAATGAAGAGAGAAAAAGAAAAGAGGAAGAGAGAAAAAGAAAAGAGGAAGAAAGAAATAAAGAAGGAAGAAAAGAAAAGTAAATATTTTTGCTATATTTAAATATAAAATTTTATTTCAAGTAATGTATCGAACTTACAACTATTAATATAAATAACGATTAATATAAAAAATTACAGTATAGAAGAAATGGATGTGGAAAATGAAAAAGAGGCGGAAGAGAATGAGGGAGAGAGAAAGAAAAACAATAAAAGAGAAGGAAGATTCCTTGAGA